GCTCTACAATTCTGTGGTGCCATTAAAAAAGGCTATTTCATGTATGTTAATTTAGCCTGAAAGATAAACTTTGTTAAAAAGTTCAGCTGTGAAGAAAGAAAAATCTCTTAAGGACCATCTGGAACATGAAAATTTAGATCACTATGTTTTGTTTTTATCTGATTTTGTTTTTATTTTCAATGTGATCTTGCCATCATCTTCCTTATGTCACAAAATAAAAGTTCTATTTTCTATGTAATATATATATATATATATATATATATATATATATATATATTTAGAAAAATATATAAAAATAAGATAAGAGGCAAGTGGAGGTGTAGCTGGCATTCAGTGGGCACACAAAATTCCATACACTGCCTCTGAGCACAGAGTGTCCTGCTTAGATGGCTGCAGTGAGCAATGATGTGTCAAAGTCATTCACACCCTGGTTACTGCTCCCCAAATCCTCCATGCTGGGATGTGAATGGAAACATAAAATACTCATCTTAAGTGCAACACTTTAAATACAATACATCATGGATTTTTACATTAAATAGAGGAACAAAAATTATACTCTCATTCACCAGTGTCTCATTTTTTGTGGCAAATTCTGAATAGGCACAATTCTCCTGTTGTCCATTTCCACTTCTAAATAAGAAAAAGTTGGAATGATAAACAATATGCAATCTGTTGCTTATAGTACACAATGTAAGTATTTAAAAAATAAAGTGGAAAAAAGACAAAGGGCTCCTACTGCTCATCCAGGTCAAACGTTTGAATCTTCGTCTGTAATGCTGGCACTGGGAGAGCGGGCAGCAAAATCTTTAAACATGTCATCTTCCTTCAACACGTGTGAGAGATTGTTGATGCCTTCAGAGAATGCCCCTATTTGTCTCACTGTCCCTTCTGAATCTTCCATCTGCTCTAACCGATCTAAGTCATCTTCATCATATAGGCGCATATCCAAACCAGGTTTAAACCCCTTCTTAGTGGCACTTCCTGATACCTGTCCCAATTCCATTGGACAAACATATTCTTCTCCATCTTCCTGTTTCTTTTTTCTCAGATTCCCAAAATTGCTGAAGGTAAGTTTCTTTGGCTTCACTTTGGCAGTAGCTGTTAAAAGTACATAATCTGGTAACTCCATGGCATCTCGCTTCTGATGTTGGGCCTCAGCACCGATTAGGAGATTAAAATGAGTGGCCAAATGTCTTCGCAACAGTGTCTTATTTGGTGGAATATTTAATAACTGCGCCATTGTTTCTACATTAAAACGAGGTTCTAGAACCATGAGCCCACCATGGACACCACTGCCTCTGAGATTGGGAGCATATTCTGCCAGATCCACAGAGCGCAGCCACTCCATCACTCGAGGATTGGTCCATTGCTGAACCTCGGATGGGGTGATGCTATTCTCATCAGATGGTCATCTTTGTAGGCAATTTGGTTCAAAGTTATTGATCCTCAGGACCTGAATGGCTCTTTTGATACTGAGGTGGTGCAGCACACTCACAACCTTCAAAGACAGTAAGTCATTAACTGTCATGTAATGTAGCATTCGACCATCCACCTGTCCTTCATCAAACTGGGTCTTATGCTGGGGGAGGCCAATATCATCCAACCATCTAGTGACCCAGTTGAAATCCAGCTTCCCATGATTGGTTTCTTCCTCGGATCCTAGAGCTTGCAGTGCCAGCTGGAGTTTCTTTCGATGAAGTGAATGCTTAATTCCAGGTTCCTTCTCTAGATCTTGCTGAGAAGCCTGCAAAAGTGTTTGACCAGACGCAATCCAGTGCTTGCCAGAATTCAGGTAGGATCCCAAGCCTTGTTCTGCAAGCCAATTACAAACTTGCTCCTTGGTCCATTTGGCAAATGGTGTATCCGAATCACTGTTAGACTGTCCCATATCTCGAGACCAACCCAATCGGGGGCCTGCAGTTGCCCTTGTCCCTCCTCTTTTGAATTCAGGCTCAGCCATGTCATCTGGGTTGAATGTAGTCAATTGACTTCTCTCCTAAGTTTTCCAAAGAGTCTCATGATACCTCTGGATTTCTTTTTGGAATCTGGAGATGGTGGAGATATCTGGAAAGGACTGTTTCCCTGTGAATCTCTGGCCTGAGAAGATGTCCCAGCCAGATCTAGGTGCTCCACTGTCTCCTTTTCTGTTTCAGCCAAGTTTGGTGCACTTGCTGTCCTTTTGTTACTTTTGATTTTAAAGAAGCCCAGGCCAAAGGAAGATCTTGCTTTTCGAGTGCCAAAGGGGTTGTCATCCACGGAGGCATCTCGTCCTGGAACTTTGGGAGGGAGGCTCCCAAATGTGCTACTTTCTCCTGAAGCTTTATCCTCTGAAGGCTTCTGAATAGACTCCTTTCCCCATTTTTTGTCTCCTTCTTCAGACTGCCTAGGCTGCTGGATTTTTGCAGACTTGAAGTTAAAAGACCATCACACAACTGGGTTTCAATAGCAGCACCAAGGATTGCTTTTCCTTCATTCTCTTCAAATAAAGTCTCTGGTTTAAGAGGCAACTTGGTTTTTTCAGGAGTTTCCACTCCTATAGTTGCTGCCAATAATGAGGGGACTGAAACTTGCAAGATGCTGGTGTGGAACTCTTCTGGAATACTTGTGTTGAATGGGTCACGACTGGGAGATCCCATTACTGAGGAAGATGATGGACTTTTCTCTATGTCACTAAAGCCCTGTGCATCCAACAAAGTAGAGATGGAACTGGAATTGAGCAGATCTTCATATTCACCATCTTTGCCTTTTTTACCTTGGGCCAGTACCACTGTGTCTTGCATTTTCTTATACCTGTTTAGGCACTGTTGGAGATCTTCTATTTTTCGATCCTTTTCATCATTTGCTGCCATAAAAGATTCCACAGCCTTTTTCATCTTTTGTACTTCAATATCTCTATCAAGAATCTCAACCCCTTCTCCTTTCATCTTGCAAACCAACTTTTCTTGCAGCCTTTTTACTTCAGATTCCTTCTCTTCCAGTTGTTCTTTTAAAGATGCCAGTTCATCTTTGGTTGACTTAAGCTTTTTTTCATATTGAAGTCTTTCACTATCCATTTCACTGACTTTTAACCTTAAATCATTGATCTCCTGAATTAGTCCCTCTGTGTCTTGAAACCTGTCTTCATAATCCAGTCTGTCCTTCTCTACAGCTGACAGTTTTAACTTCAAGTTGGATATTTCAGCCATCAGATCCAACTTCTGAGTTTCTAAGGATGTCCTACTCAGAAGCTCCTGCTTCAGCATTTCTTCTGTGGCATTCAGTTTCTCTTTGTGCTCTTCAAGACAAAACTCCAAATCTCGAATCTTCTCTCCCTGAGCCTCCACCTGGTCTGTTAACACTTTTTTCAGCTCTTCAAATCTCGCACGTCCTTAGCAAACTGATCCATACAAGTTCTGTACTGGGGGTGGAGAGCCGCCGGCACTGCTTCCAAAAGTTCCCTTCACCGTCGCTCCCAGTTCAAGGCCCCGCCACAGGGCCCCGCCACAGGCAAGCCGCTCACGACTCCTTCCCCGGCCAGTCCCCACCCTGTCTGCCCTACACCATGTCAGGAATCCGGGCAGGCACCGAGCTGGGAGCTGACATCACTCCCAGCCCCAGGTCTGGAGTACATGTTAATTACTGCTGTTATAATAACTACTCCCTAAGTTAGGCATTAGATGACCACTTAATGAGTCAAATTTCACTTTCATGGGGGGAATAACCAGTCAAATCAACTCCAGTTGCTGTGACATTGGACCAGATCACTGGTAGCATATGGACAGCACTATTGAGCTGAACTTACACCTTTACTTCTAAAGATAGATATTCACAGCAAGTTAAATCTATAATCTTCAATTAAACTCTCAAACCAAAATTAATCTATGTTTCCTTAAATATATGATTGTACAATGAAACAAAATGGAGCAAAAGGAATCTTTACCATTTCTTTTTAAATAAATAAATTATATACTACCTGCATCCTATTGATATTTTTGAATGAATCAGTTTAGCTACAGAGGTAGTATAGCATATTGATTAAATTGTCAGGTTTTAGACTAACTCTTTTAGTATTATGGGAACTTTTTGAACTTAGACATGTTATTTAGCTTCTGTGATCTTTCTTCTAATTTGTAAAGCAGGGGCTACAATAACAAAGTAATAGCAATATTACTTCACATCAAGGAATTTTTTGAAAATTGATTGAATCAATCTATCATAATTAATTTAGAATCATACAAACCTAGCATGTAGTGAGAAATCAATAAATATAAATTGATAGGATTTTAGAATTACAATATGTTAATATAAAATGCCAATTTAGTTAGCAAAAAAATGCCCTGGTATTTTCACCCCTTCATTAATATCTCTGTACCATGCAGAATGGATATTATTTTTAAAGAAAATTAATACGAAATACATGGTTCAACATGCTTTTAGAAGGATATCCAATAAAAGGGAGAATTAATAAAAAAGTAAGTGGATATTGATTCTTGATTGGGGAGCTATCACACATTTAGTGTAGGTCTATGTACCTCTGCTGCTGCCTTAACTCTGAAGTGCTCCACCATTATGTCTTGGAGAAGGCCACATAAGAAAGAAAGGGCCAGTGGAGTAGTCAAATCCTGTTACCATGGCCACCAGGGCTCAACAGCCATGTGGTCAACACACAGGTTAACAGTAAAATTTGTTAAAAATATAGATGTCCTCATACTGACTTTTAAACATTTGAAACCATTAAGTAACTTAATCTAAGTTAAACCAAAATAAAGCTCAAGTTGACTCAAGTCTAGAATACACCCATACACTCTTCATCCCAATGGCATGAAAAATACAGTGATATGCTACTTTTTGGAAGTAAATATTATTAAGGTCGGTCTTTATGTTCCTTTTCACAAAATGTCTGTCAAACAAGAAGAAAATAAAACTGGAAATAAATAAGAATTTCTACACCATAATTAAAAAAAAAAAGCTTAAAGGGAAAATACATTTTAAATGACAATTTTCTAGAATTAAGAGAGATGGGCTGGATGTGGTGGTGCACACCTGTAATCCCAGGGGCTTGAGAGACTGAGGCACGAGGATCACATGTTCAAAGCCAGCCTCAGCAAAAATGAGGTGCTAAGCAGCTCAGTGAGACCCTGACTCTAAATAAAATACAAAATAGGGCTGGGGATATGGCTCAGTGGTCAAGTGCTCCTGAGTTCAACCCCTGATACCCAAGTAAAAAGACATGGGATTTAAAATAAGTAATCTTATTAAGTATTTATGCAATTTATTGAAATTGGGAAAGTTATTTTTGATGAGGAAATTTTAGCAGAAAAACAAACTCTAAACAAGAATCACACGGAAATAATAGACAATTTTAAAATACATTATCAAAAATAAAGAAGTAATTTGATGATGGGGGTATAATATTAAAAAGAGTAAGTGATCTAAAAACCAGAATAAAGGAAATTTCATTTTAAAATAAACTTTGCCTAGATCGTTCTAGACCTGCAGGATCATATCAAACTCTCTAACACACCAATTGCACATCTAGAAAGGCAGTTAAACAGCTACAGCAGATATTTGAGGAGATAATATTTGATATTGTTCCAAACTGGTGGTCTCTATACACAGAACAAGAGTACATTATACCTCATATAAGATAAATATTAATAAAGTCATATCTAGACATATCATAGAAAAATATGGAAAATTAAAGACAAAGAGAACATCTTAAAGACAGATGAGGGAGGCCACATTAAACTTAGGGTACAACTATAAAAAGCAATGGCTGACATTTCATCAGGAACAATAGAGGCTAGAGGCAATGGAATCACCTTCTTGAAGAGATTTTAAAAAAAAGATCTAGATTTCTATAACACAGACCCACAAAAAACAAAACAAAACAAAACATAATTTCCAGATGAACAAAAGTTAGGAGAGTTTATCATCAGCAAACACACAGGAAATGTAGATGACTCTTACGTAAAGTATATAAATTGACCAGAAGATTTGTAATTAGGCATTTTTACAGAGATGAAATACGTATATATATGTACAAGTGTTTATAATAAAAATGAAAGAAAAAGTGAAAGGAACATGACTTAGAAAAGAACATATGGAGATCCTGGAATGCTGGAAATACTATATTTTTAGACTGAAAAGGGTTAAATTGATGTATGAATCACAATGGTTATTAACATTGACATTAAATTTATGTATATTTCAGTGTAAATTTTACCATTCACAATAAAAGAAAATGTTTATTTTTTAAAACCTTTAAGATGTCTACTACCTTAAAGAAAACTGGTAAAAACTATCATTTTAAAAAGTTGTTTAAACTTTAATTCAAAGGCAATGCACTTTATTTGAATCTTATTTCAATGGAATTGAGATTACATGACAAATAAAATTAGTTTATTTATATGAGTTTTTAATTTTTGTTGTTATTTTGGGGAAAAACAACAGGAGAAAACATTGTTGTTTTGTTTCAATTTTTTAAATAATAAATAAATGTAATATTAAAAGTAACGTAAAACTTGGCTCTGTAATGTTTATTTAAGCATTCCATCCATATGCCATGATAATTCAAGGATTTTTTTTTTTTTAATAATGTATTGCAGAGGACCAGAGAGAATGTGTGAGACAGGTTGTCAAGATCTTCTCATTTCTTCTACTCTGGAAGAAATAAAAGGTAAACCATGAAGCATATGTGTCATACATGATTTGTAAGTATCTTCATATGTGCTAAGTAGCAGGATCTGGAACCAGCAGCGTTGAGCCAGTACCCACAGCAGGGAGAAATCTGAAACAATGCAGAAGATTTCCCTAATGCACTGGGAAGCCTCAGCAAAAGTGAACTTGTATGCTGTAAGGAATCTATAATTTGAAGGTTTTCCCAGTGAAGCCAGCTTTACCAAAAAGAAAGATATAGTTTCAGAGAAAATATGAATTGCTTACATTGCTCACAGCCTACCTACTCAATTTCTTCCAAGTCACACTCTTTGCCTAAAGATTGTGAAAAAATATATGAAATTACTTTTTACCATTGTGTGTGTGTGTGTGTGTTTCATTAGGCATTGAATCCAGAGCATTACACATGCTTGGCAAGTGCTCTGCCACGGAGTCACAACTCTAGCCCACACTTTGCAATTGTAAAATTTCCAGAGTGCTAAAAAGTAAAATTTCGTGATTTTTTAAACCCATTGCAATAACAATTTCAATGTTTTAACATTTCTTGGTCATTTTTATAAATTCCACTTTCTAGAATAAGTTTAACATAAATATTTAAACTCCATTAAGGAAAAAAAGCTATGATTTTCATTCAGGTCGAATTATATTAATAGCTCAATTAGGATTAGAGCTATCTTTTTTTAAATATTGGATTTTTTAGGGAGAAATATGGTATGTCTTACCATATACTCAAGCAACATTTTTGAAAGTCAAATATTAGTATAGCAGTACATTTAATCCTTTGCATAGCATCTTTACCCAAAAGTTGAAATGACAAAATAGAAATAAATACTGAAGGTGTAAATCCTTCCTTAAGTTTCTTTATACAACATTTTTCATTAGGTTAAGGTAGTTTAACTTTACCAATAGTTTATGTCAAAATACTTAAAGTCTCCCTTGATTCCTGCTTCTCCACATCACCACTAAAAGTTAATGACCAGTGCCTTTCAATATTCTTGATACATACCTTGTACCAAGTAAATATTTCTTGAAGAAATAAATGAGTGGAATCATCAAATCTGTAATTTTCCCCTCAAAATTTATTCCAAATCCATCCATTTTATTTCTGCTTCAATGGACATCTCTTCAAATGTCCATTTACAGGCTATGTCATTCTGATGTTTAACTTCTCATATTTTCTATCTTTTGTTAACTTCGCATTGTGTTAACATTGTTTTAAGTGTATAGTCTAATCATGGAAGTCAAAATTTTAAATGCCCTATAATGAATATTAATTCTTATCACATTTCTAGCCAAATTTCTGTCCCATACTGTGATGGATTCTTTTTTCTTTGTTTTGTGGACCTGGGGATCACTTCCAGGGATGCTTTCCAACTCAGCTGCTTCCTCAGCCATTTTTATTCAGTTAGTTAGATTTTAGGCAAGGTCTCACAAAGTTGCTGAGGGTCTTGCTAAGTTGCTGCAACTGGCATCAAACTTGGCAATCCTGCAGCCTCAGCTTCCCACGTCACTGGGATCATAGGGATGAGCCACCACCCGTGACATTCCCATGGGTTCTTATAATTCCATCCACAGGGTCTTTATGTATGTAAAGTAAATA